CTGCCTCTGTTCTGAGAGGGCATCAGTAGTACTTTACAGGCCACAAGGTCAGATGTGAGCCCTCCACACATGCTTTCTGCATCCTTGTCTGGGAACCCTACCTTGGATTTAAATTTTTTTATAATTTTATTTATTGAATCACCGTGAGAGCAGTTACAAAGCTTTCGGGTTTAAGTCTCGGTCATACAACGAAACACCCATGCCTTCACCAGTGCCCGTTCTCCACCCCCCAAACCCTAGTATACCCCCATTCCACACCCTCCCCCTACCTGTGGGGCAGATGATTTCCACGTTACTCTCTCTCTACTTTGATCACATTCAATATTTTGACACCAGACCCACCATTATTATTTGGGATTTTACCCCAACACTCAGATCTGCTGAAAAGGCAACAGTAGACAATTTGTTTCCTATTGCTGGTTATGAATAACATATGATATCATGCGGCTGCAGTAGTGGCCACGTGATTTTGAAATTCCGAAATTTTAACAATTAAATCTGGAGGGATTTCTGCCAAAACCTGCTGGGTTCCGAGATTTGTTCCTGAGTCTCTTGGATCATGGCCGTTAAGCAGCTTGATCAAGAGCCAGAAAGGCCATTTGTGGGCAGCGTCTCAGGGTCTCATCAGGACGGGGAGGAAAGGGCCAGCTCCACCCCCATCCCATCAGGCCCCGTATGTCTTGTCACTGCAGGCCCAAACCTGACTGTCCAATGGCCTCTGGAGGATGGTGGCCACTGAGTTGCCAAGGGGGAGCAGGCAGAATAACAGCACCCTTTCCCCGCTGGGGTGGCCCGGTGACAGTAACCTACTGCGTGGTCCCGACGCATTTCTGCCAAAAGCCGCTGGGTTTCGAGATTTGTTTCTGAGTCTCTGGGATCATGGCCATTAAGCAGCTTGATCAAGAGCCAGAAAGGCCATTTGTGGGCGGCGACTTGGGATCTTGTTGGGACCGGAGGAAAGGGCCAGCTCAACCCCCATCCTGTGAGGCCCCACATGTCTCGTCACTGTGGCCCAAATCTGACTGTCCAGTGTCCTCTGGAGGATGGCAGCCACTGGGCCGCCAGGGGGAAGAGGCCAAGGCACGAAACCTATTCTCACCTAGGGTGGCCCAATGCCAGTAACATACTGCAGGGACTGGACACATTTCTGCCAAAAGCCTTTGGATTTCGAGATTTGTTTCTGAGTCTCTGGGATCATGGCCGTTAAGCAGTTTGATTAGGAACCAGAGAGGCCATGCCTCCAAGCATATAGCTGAGCCGGAGGTGGTTCGTGGGTGTGTCTCTCACATACCTAACTTTTGGCTGTTTACTTTCTTGGTAAACTTTGCCCCAAGATTTTGGGGTCTGGCTAAAGGCACAGCAGCAATTTTGGGGTATCTGGAAGTCTGAAGGTGCCATCAGGCTGCTGATGCACTCGCCCCGCAGGTACAGGTTGATCTGTTGGCGGCACCATACCCCCCCTATCTTGGATTCTTAACAGTCAAGACCACCCACTGGCCTGGTGGTCTTGGATTCCTCCTAGCAGTGGAGGAATCCAAGGAATCCAGCAGCAGCATTTGCAGCGGATGCTCAAGGCCTCCCTGAGTGGGTGGAGCTTGGCATTGGGAGTCGGGAGAGGACAGGTTGGGGCCCTGGACGTGGTCCTATAGCACGTAGGACCAGGGCTGAGGTGGGTGTTTTTTTTTTTTTCTTCATTTTTTATAATTTTATTTATTGAATCACTGTGAGAGCAGTTACAAAGCTTTTGGGTTTAAGTCTCGGTCATACAATGAAACACCCGTCCCTTCACCGGTGCCCATTCTCCACCACCAAAACCCCCAGTAAACTCCCATCCCACACCCTCCCCCTACCTGTGGGGCAGGTGATTTCCACATTACTCTCTACTTTGATTACATTCAATATTTTGACATCAGAGAGGTGGGTGGTTTTCTACATGCAGCCCAGCACTAGCCCATTGGTGTTTGAAGAGGTCCAGGGCCCAGGCTAACCTGGCTTCACTCTCTCTGGCTGAGGGGCACAGGCTCTCCCTCAGTCACCTCGGTCACCTGCAGCACTCAGCAGATGATCTGAGTTTTGAGAGCGGGGATGAAAAAAAAACAAATAATTTTCACTCAACCAAGGGACTGTGTTGATGAGAAGCAAGGCTGCCTGACACTCACCTCACTCTTGGCTGTGTGACACCACTGGGACAATGAACCGAAAAGCCAGATGGGGTCAAGGGTCTACTCCCGGAGTAGTTCAGCCAGGGGCACTGAATCAATGGGACAGCAGGGAGAGCCCTGTACAGGGTCCCCCAATACTGCCGAGAGTAACCCGTGTGCAGAGTCCTGAGCACAGCCGGGTGTGGCTCAAAGCCAAAAGGAGTTCACTGCCCACAGCGGGGAAGACAAGTCCCAGGCTGAAACGCCCAGCGCGTATGCCAATGGAATGATTCTTTCTGGAGGGCATGATTCTAACTTTTAACCGCTTTGACAATGGACACCGGACTGATCCCTTCCAGCCCAGGCTAGGAGAGGAGAAAGCACCTGGTCTGGGAGCCGCTGACAGGAGAAACACGCCAGCATGGGGGCCCTTGGCGCTGGAAGCTGCCCTGCTTGGCCCAAGCCTCTCCCAGCTCTGCTGCTAACGTTCTCTTGCGTGGCAGCCCCCGTGCTGCGTTTGGGGCTGAGCGTCATGCTTCCAGGGGCCTCTCGCTTCAAATAAAGGGACTCAGTGACTTCCAAACAGATGGACTCGGAACTGCCTGACGCCTTCCATAGGCACCTCGACACCACCAAAGAGGCTCCCTGACTTCTGCAGGGAGGGGCCGGACAGAGCCTTAGAGCAGCACCGTCACCTGACCCGAAGGGGAGCCCTGGAGAAGACAAAGGTCCCCTGCCTGGTCCTTAGGATCCCTCTAAGGCTCATTAATAACCAGTTCAGGGCCAGGGACATGCTCAAAGGGCTGGGCACAGGTGTGCCATGTGGAGCCCTGGCTTCCATGCCTGGCACTGAGCGTGAGCCGTGAGCACCCAGTCAGTAAGTTTCTGGGAGCAGCCCCAGAAACAAACAAAAAAATCCAGCTCACCATTTTCCCATTGAAACCTACTCCTTCAGAAATAAAGCAGGGTAAGACACACACCTTAAACGGGTTTGATCCCCATCACTGCACTTGGTGTCCCCAGCTCTGCCAGGAGTGATGGGGATTACCACCAGTCTGACCCCCAAACCCCACCAAAACCAAAACCAAGCAAAAAAAAAAATCTGCTCCTTCAAATTACCACCATCACCAAGAGAAGGTGTGGGAGAGAGACAGCTCAGGGCTGAGTGCCTGCTTGAAGCAGGCCCGCAGGAGGCCAGGGCTTGGACCTCCGAAGCTCGGTCCCCTGAATATCAGAGTGACCCCTATTACTGAGCAAGGAGCAGCCCCTGAGCACCACCCAGAGTGACCCCCAAACAAAGCAATAAACCAGCCCCCACACCTTGTTCTCACCATGGCAAAGGTTAGAAACACAACAGTATTCCTTTAATTCTCCTCGGCTTTTGCCCTCCCAGACCACAGTCACTGAATCCTAGAATCTTGGAAGGTCTTGGAAAGTTTCCCATGCCAATTCCGGCAGAACCTAACAGAGGCACTAGAAGGTAGGAAATACACACACCTGAAAAAGGCACTTTGTAAAAAGGCGCAGCATTAAAAGGGGGGTTGGCTAAAACAAACAAACAAACAAACAAACAACAGCAGAGCCAAGCGGAGCCCCCAGGCCTGGCCAGCAGGTTTGGGTTTGACCGAGGGGATCCAGAGGGGCTGGGGTCAGGGCTCCTGAGGTCAGACCTTGGTGGTGGTGGTGGGGGGTGTCAGCCGGGGACAGGCTGCTCCGGGTCTACAGTTTCAGACAATTCTCGACTGCTGGAGCCCGGCGCGGCGGGCCACGCCGCCGTCGGACCGCGGTCAGCACTCCCGGAGTCCCCTAGTCCGGCTTTATCGCCACCTGGACAGAAGCTCCTTCTCCTTTCTCACCGCCCCGCCCCTTCCCCATAGCAACTAGCACAGGGTTCGGCGGGCTTGGGGCTATAAATAAAATGTTTGTGAAATCACCAAGCCCTCGAATTTTAGCGCCAGGAGGAATCTGGGCAGTTCCTGGGGCTGCTCGTTCCTCTGCAGATGGGGCAGCCGCGCCCGGGTCCGGGGCTGACCCTGCCGGGGCGGCCGGTCAGGGGCCAAGTCGCAAACAATCACACCGGGGGCCTCGGGCGGGGGGTGGGAGGGGGGGCGGCGCCGGGGCGAACCTCCCCGCGCACCCGACCCGGCGCCCGGCCTGCGGCCCGTCCCGCACCGGGCCGGGGGCTCCGGAGACGCGGGTGCCCCGGCAGGTGTCAGCGCGGGGCCGAGCGGCCGGCCCACGTGCACTCGGCGCGCGGGAGCAAAGTCCGCGAGGGGCTGCGCGGCCCCCCACCCGCGCTGCGCCCGGCCCGGCCCGGCCCGCCCAGCCGCTGCACGCGGCCCGCGACCCCGACCCGCCCCCACGCCTCCGCCGCCGCTGCACCCGGGCCGCGGTCCCCGGCCCACGCCCGGCGCCCGGCGCGCAGGCTCCGCCCCCCGGCCGGGCCCCGCCCCCGCCCGCCCCGCCGCGCCGCCGGCCAATGGGGCGCACGGGGGCGGGGCGCGGCGGCTGTCGTGAGCGGCCGCCGGCCAATGGGGCGGCGAGCCGGGCCGGGGGGCGGGGCGCCGGGGCCGTGTCACGCTCGGGTCCGTGTGAAAACGGGGTTCCGAGTGCAAAGCAAAGTTTTTTTGTAAACCGTCTGCAAAGGCGGGGGGCGAGCACGGCCCGACGCCGCGCCGGGAGCCGCTGCCGGCCGCCGCCGCCGCCTCCGAGCCGCCCGGGCGCCGGCCGCGCGGCCGGGCTCCGCGGACCCCGAGAGCGGCCGGGCCGCCGCCCGCCGATGCGCGCCGCGCCCGCCGCGCCCGCCGCGCCCGCCCGCCCGCGCCGCCCGGGCGCCGCCGCCGCCGCCGCCGCCGCGGCCCCGCGGCCCCGCGCCCGGCCCCCGCCGCCGCCATGGGCTGCTGGGGGCGCAACCGCGGGCGCCTGCTGTGCATGCTGCTGCTGACCTTCCTCTTCATGGTGCTGGAGGTGGTGGTGAGCCGCGCCACCGCCTCGCTCGCCATGCTCTCCGACTCCTTCCACATGCTGTCGGACGTGCTGGCGCTCGTGGTGGCGCTGGTGGCCGAGCGCTTCGCGCGCCGCACCCACGCCACGCAGAAGAACACGTTCGGCTGGATCCGCGCCGAGGTGATGGGCGCGCTGGTGAACGCCATCTTCCTCACGGGGCTGTGCTTCGCCATCCTGCTGGAGGCCGTCGAGCGCTTCATCGAGCCGCACGAGATCCAGCGGCCGCTCGTGGTGCTGGCCGTCGGCGTGGCCGGCCTGGTGGTCAACGTGCTGGGGCTCTGTCTCTTCCACCATCACAGCGGCTTCGGCCACGCGCACGGCGGCCGCGGCCGCGGCCACGGCCACGGCCACGGCGCGGCGGCGGCGGCGGCGGCGCGGGGGGCGCGCGCGGGCGGCCCCGGCGCGCCCGGAGGAGCGGGCGGACCCGGCGGACCCGGGCCCGACGGCGCGGCCAGCGAGCCGGGGCCCGACCCCGAGGAGACCAACATCCTGGTGCCCGGCGGCCGCGACGCCAACGGGCTCAAGCCCGAGCGCCCAGGTGGGTCCGGGTCGGCGGGGAGGGGGCGTGGGGGGGCTGCACTGCCTTGACCCGCGCCCGGGAGCGTTCCAGAGGGAGAGGGGCACGCCGGGGCGGGGTGCCACCCCAGACGCCAGCGGCCCGTCTTCACACTCACCTGCGCTGCCTGCCTGCCGCTGGAAGTCAGCCGGCCCCGGGAACAGGTCCCACCCAGCCCGGCTCCCCTGCACCAGGCAGGGGTCCGGGTCAGGCTCCCCGCCCAGGACCCTCTCCTCCGTACTCGGGTCAGAGTCTAGAAGTAGTTGGCCACCACACCTCCGTGGCTGCGAGGCCTCTGCTGAGACTCCTTGCTGCCCTTTGTGGATGACCCCCCCCATGTGTAGGGGCAGCAGCGGCCCTGCCACGACTTTGTCCAGCCCCGGCCAGCGGCCAGCGGCCGGCCCCTAGCTGCCTCTCCTCGCTTGCCCTGCGCACATACAGAAAGTGGGTGTCCGGAGGTTCCCCTGCGTCCTCCTTCGTGTGGGGATGGGCAGGGAGGTTGCTGGCGACTCTGACTCTGATGCTCCGCGGTCATCTCCTCGCAGATGCTGACCAGTCGGGAGCTGAGGCCTCGGCCGTGCAGGTGAACGGCAGCCTCATGGCGGAAACGGAGCCGGAGGAGCTGGACGACGACCACTCGGCGCAGCTCAACATGCGCGGGGTCTTCCTGCATGTCTTCGGCGATGCTCTGGGGTCCGTGATTGTGGTGTTGAATGCGTTAGTCTTTTACTTTTCTTGGAAAGCTTGTCCTGAGGGGGAGTTCTGTGTGAACCCGTGTAGCCCCGACCCTTGCAAAACCTTTGTGGAAATGCTGAATACGACACAGGCGGACGTCCACACGGCCGGGCCTTGCTGGGTGCTTTACCTGGACCCCACGCTCTGCATCGTCATGGTCTGCATCCTGCTCTACACCACCTACCCGCTGCTGAAGGAGTCCGCCCTCATCCTGCTCCAGACGGTGCCCAAGCAGATCGACATCAAGCATCTCATGAAGGAGCTGCGTGCCGTCGAGGGGGTCGATGAAGTCCACGAGCTACACGTCTGGCAGCTGGCTGGGAGCAGGATCATCGCCACCGCGCACATCAAGTGTGAGGACCCCGCCTCCTACATGCACGTGGCCAAGATCATCAAGGATGTGTTCCACGACCACGGCATCCACGCCACCACCATCCAGCCCGAGTTCGCCAGCGTGGGCACGGCCAGCGTGGCCCCCTGCGAGCTGGCCTGCAGGACTCAGTGTGCGCTGAAGCAGTGCTGCGGCTCCCGGCCGCAGCCCCCCGGGGCCAAGGACGGGGAGAAGACCCCCTCGGTTAGCATTTCCTGTTTAGAACTTAGTGAAAGTCTGGAGAAGAAGCCCCGGAGGACTAAAGTGGAAAACATACCTGCTGTTGTCATAGAGATTAAAAAGATGCCAAGCAAACAGCCCGAGTCCTCTTTGTAAAGGAGGCTTGAGAGGGACACAGCGCTTGATTTTAAAGACTCCATCGAATTCGAGTTTGCCAAGTAGTGTGATTTGAAGTCCTTGTCTGGCCACAGTTTCTTCTATTTTTGTAAGAACTCGCAGGGACTGTTGAACAGAGTTCTACAGCAACTTTTGTGAATGTTGGTGGGGTCACAGCTGTGCTGGACAGTTTTAGGAAGCCAGTTTTAACACTATGTTACATTTTTGTTTTAAAGTAAGTATAAACCTTATATAACATAATGACTTTTGATTTCCAGTTTTTCCATGGTAAAAGATTAACTTGGGGGATAAATAAAATTGTTACTGGGTTTTCTCTGCTTTCCTTTCCCCCCTTTGTTGTTATACTTTGTTCACATTGTAATTGCTAGAACTTTAAAAAATCGTCGTTTGTTCCCTCTGACACTCTAAGAAATATTGACCTGCCCTTTGAGATCATTACATAGCACAGTGGCAGCATGTTTGGAAAGTGACTCATGGGTATTAGGGAAAGTTTCTGTTTTTCCTCACCTGGGGTATTTCTCATACTAAGCATCAGTGACTGTCCTGTCTGGGCTATTGCTGAGTATTCTAATAAAGTGAGTTAATTGACCAGTTGCTATCATTCACACATAACAGGGAGGGTCGGTTTCCCAAATGAAATACTTCAGGCACTTGCAAATTAACATTCGGTCTACATAGGGCCGGAGAGACAGTAAAGCGGGTAGGGTGCTTGCCTAGCACGTGGCCAACCCGCATTCCTTCCTCGACATCCTGTATGGTACGCCAAGCACCATCAGGAGTAATTCCTGAGCAGAGTCAGGAGTGACCCCTGAGCGTCACTGGGTATGGCTCACAAAAGTATATATTCAATCTGCATCTCTAAATTTTCTGAGATACGAACTCACATTCCCTTTGCCAGAGTCTGTCTGAGAGCTGGACTCTGTACCCCCAGCCTTGCTTTCTGAGACTTGCTGGAAGCATGCAGGCGTCGGTGGCTTCAAGGACATGAAACAACATGAGATCACGTGCTGAGTACCAGCTCGTTAAGGTGACTGTTGAGATTATGGGTGTTGAAACAAGACCATTTTCTGGTGTTGGCGGGACCCGGGCGAGGCTCCTGGAGCACGTCCTGAGCTGGGAAGCAGCTCTGAGGGTGCAGTCCGGCCTGGGTCCTCGCCAAGGGAGCGGGCCGCTCAGACTGCCCGTTACTCCCACCCTCAGTGCCCAGCTGTCTCTCCAGTAACCTGTTCCCAACTGCTGTTGCTGTGGATTTCAGACCTACAGATACGGTTGAAGAGCATTTAAAGTTACAGTTTTCATGTTAGATGGGTTATGCTTGGTGGAGAAAAAAAAGCCAAAATGATATTTGCTTTCAGATGAATGAATGCTAGTATCAGCCCTCATGGATAGTTCTATTTTTCTAGAAACCTAGTATCCTGACTCCCATCAGTCACTTTCAGAGCATTATGGATGTTTGCATTTTGGGATTTGAAATAATTTGTTATTTTATGAGTCTTAAGATGAAAGTGTCGGTATTTGACAGTTAACTCACTGAAAGGATGATCGTTCGTGGTAGATGATGTGTTTTATTTTTTCTAGAATAAGCCTATTGCTGGCAATGGGTCTATTTAAGAACAGCTAACTTTTCCAGCAAGACAGGTCATCTTATGAACACATTGTAATTACATATTTTCTATAAATGGGCCAAACCATAATTTATTGATATGCAATACACCTTGAATACTGTGATCTGGTATTGTGCAATTAACTCCTTAAATACACTGCTAGTTATCTGAATTCTGGAGGGTGGGGTGAAGTTAAAGGATGAAAGTGGGAAGTGCCATAAGTATGGGTAAATGAGAGAAAGCTTCGAATTGTGATAAGATGAAAATCAGGCCAGAACAATAGAACAGTGTGTAGGGCATTTGCCTTGCCCGCAACCAACCAGAGTTTGAATCCCAGCACCCCAGATGGTCCCCTGAGCACCACCAGGAGTGATTCCCAAGTGCAGAGCCAGGAGTAACCCCTGAGCATCACCAGGTGTGGCCCCCCAAAACCAAACCAAAAATATTCAGCTCCAAATCATTGGTCATCAGAACATTTCAGTAATAAGACATTTATGATAACATCTCACAGATCACACAGTGGGGCAGTTTCTGGACGCAGGCTAAGGTGGCATAGCTGACACCGGCAATGGATCTATTTAAGGAGGGGTTTAGTGGTGTGTCAAGCAAGGACCAAGGGCTACTTTCTAGTGTGCTCTGAGGGTAACAGCCTTTAGAGTTTAGTTTTGTCACTGTCCCTGATTATAAGCAACTTCTCTGTAACAATGGGGCACCTATAGCCTCTCTTCCCTGTCCTAATAGCAGAATTGGGCACTGACTCACCTCTTGACTTTTAGCAGAGAATTACTTCTTTACAATACACTTGCTCTCTCTCTCTCTCTCTCTCTCTCTCTCTCTCTCTCTCTCTCTCGGTGCTGTATTAGCATTATCTTTTAAAAGATGCTTTTATATTTAAAGTATTGTGGAATTCAGGTGGTTTGTCCAAAAGAGCTTATTTTTCCCTGCCCACCCTACATGGCTGGGAGGTGGACCTGGTATTCCCCTTTCCTGGTTCTCTGAGCAAGGTCAGCTTCTAGAACATGCATCTAGAACGTGTCTGTCTCACGTTAGTGAGAAGGGGCTGCTGGCGCCAGAAATCAAACCACGCAGAAAATTTTCTAGCCATTCACAGCCTCCACGGGGAGATTCCCTTCTCCACACCACCCCTTAATGTAGCTTATGTGAATGTCCCAGCGGGTTTTTATAAGGAGCCTCTGTGCTGTAAAAGTGAGTTTGAACCCGGACAGGGAGAAAAACATTTAACATTTCAGGGAACAGTCCGTTTGAATAGCTAACGTGTGTCCTTAGATTAGGAGAAATTTCCACTAAGCACCTTGGAAAGTCACAAAAGTTGGAGAAGTCTGCATCAGCTTGCTTCTATCTTGTTAATGTCCTCAGTGGATTGAGAAGGATTGGACTATGAGGGGAGAGGCCCAGGGGACCCCAGGGGAGCCTTGGGAGAAGGGGAAGTGGCACCGAGGTGGCCTGAGCTGCTCAGACACTGATGACAGGAGTGACGTGTTCTTTACCTGCTCCAAGTGTCCGCGCAGCCCCCTGGAGAAGATTCACCTGAAGAAAATTCTACAATGCAGAAATATTTATCCGCCTCAGTTTAGTCCTGAAACAGTGTTAAAACCCGTGTGGAGGTGGGGAGTTCGGGGCCCACTGTGTTTAAGTTGGAGCAGCCACGTAAGTTGGAGGTCGAGGCTGGTCTCCACCATGCCTCGCTGCAGACAGGCCGATGCTCCGTGGCTTCACCCTGACTTTTTACCTGCACAAGGGCCTCTTCTGCGTCGTGCCAGCTCAATTTCTAAACCAAAATTGTTTGGTCGTGTCTTTGGCGAACTGTCACCGAAGACTGTGACCTGATGTGTGCAGTGGAGGAGGAGACCAGGATCAGCGTGTGTCCGGCCTCTACTCTTCCTGCTGCCCGGCACCCCTTGCTGAAAGGCTCCGTGGATTGTTCCGTGTGGGAGCTGTCCTTGAGACAGGCTGCTGTGTTGCTTCTCATTTATTAAAAGGAGAAAAATAAACCAATTTTCACTCTACAGCACTGTTTGGCGCCTCTGTTTCCTCTCTGTGCTAGGGGCGTGGGGTGCAGAGGGGTTCGCTAGGAGTAGGCATAGGGACCAGGTCTCAGGACAGGGAGGAGGATGACAGGAGGGGGCAAGAGCAGCCCGAGGAGTGGGGGGCGCGAGTGCGGGCCTATGTGTGCTGGACTGTCCCTGCGAGGGGTCAGCTGCTCTGGCTCCCACACAGGCTCCTGACGGAGGCCAGTGGTCGACAGCGATGTGACCGGGACCATTGGCTGGGAAGTTCGTGGTCATTTAGAGGGTTTTAGAGCACGTTCCTCCCACTGGGAGGTGAGCAGTGAAGAAAACCATGAGACTGGAGTGTTAGCGCAGTGGGACGACATTTGCCTTGCATGTGGCTGACCGGGGTTTGATCCCGGCATCCCATGTGGCCCCTGAGCACCACCAGGAGTGATTCCTGAGCGCAGAGCCAGTGGTGATCCTGAACATTGCTGGGCGTGGTCCCCAAAACACAAAAAGCCAACGGTGGGCGCTGTGTGGCACGGCTGACTTACAGCCTCCGCCCCCTCAGGTCAGCACCTCCTGGGGCTGAGCACCCGATGGACAGGCCTTGCAGGCGGTAGCGACATGGTGGCACCAATCGGCTTCCGTTGTTCCCTCCACAGAGACTGTCCCACTGTAGCCAGCCCCTGGCCCAAATCGCCAGACTTGTTCACTAGTGGGGTGGGTGTACACCTGCCCCCCACAACACACACATAGCTGCTGCTCAGGGACACTCTGAAAGGGGAGCATGGGTGGGGTGTTCTGTGTCAAGAGCAGCACGGAAGACCGAAGAAATAAGAATGAAGGCCAAATCCTTTCTTTTTTTCTTTTTTTTTTTCTTTTTGGGTCACACCTGGAGATGCACAGGGGTTACTCCTGGTTCTGCACTCAGGAATCACTCCTGGCGGTGCTCAGGGGACCATATGGGATGCTGGGAATCAAACCCGGGTCGGCTGCAGGCAAGGCAAACGCCCTATCCACTGTGCTAGTGCTCCAGCCCCAGGCCAAAGCCTTTGGCATGGGCAAACTCAGAGAGCTGATCAGCCGGTGAAAACACCAAACTCCCTAAGCCGGACGCTGATGTAAGCAAGCAGGTCATCCAAAGCTGGTCCTGAGCCTGAACATCCTTGTAGGTGGAAATCAGCCTCTTGTGGGGGCAGAGCAGGACCAATGACAATCTGCGTGACAGCGGCCCCAGGGCATGTCACTCATGTGCATGGGGTGCCCAGGGCAGACCCCCTGGGCTGGATCGGCTGACCATAGAAGACACCAGCTTGGGGATCCTCTGGTCACACAGACTCCTGGGAGACACCCTGGTCATCATCCAGATGCCTGACCTTTTCAAACGGGCCCTGGGAGGCAGGAGGGCTCAGGGAAGCAGTTGAAACAGCAGACAGAGGAAGGACCCTTGGGAGTCAGTTCAGCATCCGCCTGCCCCACCCACCAAGAGCTGGGTATGCCGGTTTCCCAACCAGCGACCACAGCATGGCGGACAGCGGCTGAAGCACAGACAAGGCCCCCAGGGTCCCTGCTGAGACTCTGCTTGGAGGGGGCCAGGGGTGAGCCTTGCGGTGCTTCCAAACCAAGGCAATCCCGGGGTCGTTGCCTCAGCCATCCAAGGCCAGGGGGCTGGTGGCAGTCTGTGCAGGGCAGGGCAGGG